AGCTGGGAGCCGAGGCTGGAGGCATCGCAGAGCTGGGATCTCCTCCAAAGCCCCGGCTGCTAAAGGAAACAAACAACTCCCCGTGCATATTAAGTGGGTCCCTAATTAATTAATGACTCATTAACCTGGGTCCCGCAGTCCTCGCTGTGCCCAAGACCTCGCTGAGGAAGAGGAGGGAGGTCTCAGCGCAGGGCGGGCGAGGTTGTCACCCGCGGGGGCTGCTGAAGAATTGCGCCAGGTCTCAGCCCAGTGGCACTGCCAGGGGCTGGGGTGGCAGCAGCGGGGGGCAGCAGGGGCCTGGGAGGGCAGGACATCCCTTGCTGGTGGGTCTCAGCCACAGGAGAGGGGCACGGGCAGCCCGGGGGGCAGCGAGGTCAGCTCGGGAACCCAGCCCAGGGGGCAGCGAGGCCAGCTCGGGTACCACATCGCGTTATAGCGGGGTCAGCACGGTCCCTTCCTAACTTCTCTGGCCACGGAGGAGCAAGGCGAGGAGGCAGGGGTGGAAGAGGGCTCCTGGCTTGTCCCACGGGGTCCCACCGGCGTGATGCTTGGGACCATGGTGCAGAGCCCCAGATGCAAAAAGGAGGCTCTCAGCCCCCCCCCCTCCTCTGCCCCTTCCAGGCTCTGAGCCCCAAAAACGGCACTGGGAAAGGCATCGGGGCTGGTAAAGGGCTGACTGCAAAGCACTCGGGGAAGGGCGTTTGTCATCTGCAAAGGGGTCCTGAGATGGGGAAACTGAGGCAAGAGAGGTGTGCCGGACCCCAAACCCGAATGGGGAAGATGTATGTGGTGTATGTGTATGGGGGGGGGAGGAACCTCCTGAATCCCAACCACATCCCCAAAGAGCAGCCAAAAACGATAGCCGAGCATCCACCCATCCCGCTGCACCCCGTCTGCCGCCCCGGGGAGAGCCCGCTGTGCCCTCAGCCCCTGCAGGGCCACGGGGTGTGTGTGTATATGTGTGTGTGTGTGTGTGTGTGTGTGTGTCACACAGCCCTGGCCTCCCCCGCCGCCATCCCAGCCTTTGCAAGCACCCCAAACTTAGATCCCCCCCCCCCCTTTCCACCCCCCCCACCCCCG